TGGAGGAGGCAATGATTGACTAGGATCCAGGACTAGCACTTTCCTCCTGAGACTGTGAAAGGTGTAAGGAACGACTCATGTGATCAGGAGGGGAGGATCTAGATGAGCTCGTGTCCCGTATCCGTTCTGGGGTTTCTTGTGGAGCAGATGTACTTTTGCTCTACCAGTTTCTAAAACAGTCACGCATATGCAAGTGTGCCAAGAGATTTAAGTGCCTAGTAATGCTAGTAACTTGGTATGGCTAAATTTGTGTCGGCAATTAGCTTCTGTAATAGGTTTTCCTGCGTATGTAATCGCTTGTGTGATTTATGTCCCCCGTGTTCATGAAGTCTGTGCAGAAGCCTGGCCCGGCTTTGCATGTCTTAGTCTCTGCGTGTGCTGCCTGATTTCAGGCTGCTGCTGGGAGCGTCCTGCAGCAGCACGGGTCTGGCTGCAGCTCCGAGATATAGCCAGGGCGGTGATGGCGGGTTTTCTGTGCTTGCTGATGGTCTCGCTTTTCATGTTGGGTGGCATGTGGCAGCTTCCCTCTGTTAATTAGAACAAATGTGCCAATTATGTTAATGTATCTCCCGATACCAATCAGCGAATAATTAGAGACAACACATCTGTCTCTCACTGTGGAGCGGGATGACAGGAGAGGCGCTACAAGGTATGTTGCTCTAAATTCCAGCCGCCTTGAACTCAGCGCTTCCTCAGCCGGTCGCAGGGATGGCTGAGTCTTGTGGCAGGCTTGCCAGCGTGTTGGCAGCGCTGGACGTGTAGATCCAACACAGCTGGTGGGAGCTGTGTGCTTCACTGCTCTGCAAATTACATCCAGAGAACTAAGGAGCTCTGACCAAGAACTAGCTGGCTTCGGGTGTGCTCCACCTTCTCAGCATCCGCAGTCACTGTGAGTGAGGATTTCATTGACTACACTCACACCTTTGCAGAGGGGCCTTCTCTTGCTAGTCAGTTTGAAAATACATAACAAAACCACCTTCTTGAATGGAAAACTAAAAAAAGAAGTGGGGATTTCATGCCTGCTTTGTTCCAGGGGGCTGATATGTAAGAAAAAAACAGTTGCACGTTGTTGTAATTTTCCATAGCTGTCATCTCCACAAGGGAACACTCACCCCATCCTTTATGGCAGTACTGTTGCCAATTAAATCATTTCTGTTATGATAAAGAAAAATTGATGCCCAGGCTTTTTAAAAGTATGTGCACGACTGTGTGTACATTTATTGATAACAGTTGGAGGGATGTGCCTGATGTAATTGAATAAATAGAGCTAGGTACCTGTTCAAGAATCATTGTGACTGTAACCAGTAAATACACATCCTCAATATTTAGGCAAAAGCAAACATCTACCCTAGAAAAATCTTCTGCAGAGAGCTGAGAAATGGAGCCATGAGGGCGTGATTTGGTATGACTCTGAAGAGAGGCATCTTGTGCACTTTGAAATGCCCATGGGTATCCATGGGTACCCTCGCCCAGAGGGTTGCAGGTCTCCGGCACATAAATGTCCGGTGCCTCATCTGCCAGCCTTGCTGCAAGCATGGTGGTTTCCCCAGGGCACCAGCCACTATTATTCAAGCAGCGGAATTAAATTCAAGATAAGTTTCTGCATTGACTGGATTAGCAGCCTGCTTCAGCAAGGGGGCTGCGCCTTGGGGAATGACATAGCATCAAAAGAGATAGCTGCTTTTAACTTCTGTAATAACAGTTTGCATACTTGTCATTCATAAATCACACTGGCTCATTCCGCTTTGTTCTCTTCTCTTTTGTATTTGACACCTGATCTCTGCCTACTTACATGACAGAACAACCCTACTCCCACCTATTCTGGTTACCTCAAAAAAATAAATCTGACGTTAGGAGGTGCTGAGCACTGCAGTCACCTGCACCAGAAAAAATAAGGCTGTTGTTAGTAACTGAAAATAAATACCATTTACATGTTGTAGTGTGTTTAATTAGTTATCACTTCTACAAGGACTGAAGGAGAAAACACATCTGCTGGAGGGGCGTGCTCTTTTTTGTGTTGCGCTGCTGATGGCTAAAAGGTGTTTCTGTCACTAGAACAGAAACAGTCCTAAAAAGGAGACTCCTATTTCTTTTCAAATCATCCATCAGTTCCTCCCTTCAGATTTGGTGATGTTATCATTTGCTACATGATCAGACTTATGACATCAGAAAAAGCCTGGATGCCAGAAGATGACTGAATTAGATATGTTAAAGAGGTATCTTCTGAGAGAGATGGCATTTAGACATGCACACACAGTACCAATGTACTGGCAAAACAGGTTTTTCAGAAAAAAGGCATCCTATTTTTCTGCAAACTTAATGTTTTATTGTTAGAAAATTCTCTGAGCCATTAGGTGAAAAGGATCTTTTTCCTGAGAGATTTGGTGAAGAGCCAGAGGCAGTATACTGAATTATACAGAATATCTTTTTTTTCTGATATTGGCAACTCCTGTTTTGATATCATCTTCAATGTTTTTGCAGGGATGAAAGGGAATTTAATACTCATAGCTTTAATTTTGTCTAGTCAGCTGAGACCCAGACTGAATATGTATGTGTTTGTTTTTGTGGAGAGAGAAAGTGTTGCAGAGTACTGGAAAAAGAGAACCCATGCTTGAGCATGGAGCCTTGCACAGTGCCGAGGGCTGCTAGTGTACATGCTTGGATGCGCATCCCAGAAACATTTTGGACTGAGCCTTAGACCATGGGATGGCTGTAGTCCTGCCCTCACTGGCGTCCTCATGTCCTCAGTGTGCAGAGCACAGGAAAAGCACATGTGGATCTGAAGGTGGTACACAGCTGTGGCAGCGTGCATAGCGTCTTTCAGAGTCCTGACACCAGTCTGTCCTCCATCCCAGAAATAAGTAATGGTATTAAAACCCAAGGAAGACATTTTGTTTATGTGGGAGGCAGGGGCGAAGTGGCAGCCTACCACTGAAGGAGAGGTAAGGTCCTGACTCGTTTTACACTCTGGGATGCATGCAGACTTGACCTGGAGGAAGGTCAGGAAGGAGCTGAATATTGTCATTGACTGAACAGGAATCTGTCTGTCTTGATTATACCTGGAACCTATGAAGAGTCATTTTAGTCATCCTGGCAAGGAAAACCAGGTTATTGACTAAGTGCTTGTATCTTCCATGGTAAAACATGAATGTTGTAGTTACAGAAACACGGCCTCTGAAGTTTTTTGTCTGTTTTCTTCCTCCCCTGTTCCTCACAGACACGCATGTCCGTTTCCACAGCCCTTTTTGCACCACCAGTTTTAAGCTATAAAGTATCGATAGTTGCGAGACTACCACATACTGCAGCTATCTGCTGTGGGCGAGGAGGGTTTAGATCAAGCCTTCCTCTCAGCAGTGGCTTTACATTCACAGAATCACAGAATAGTAGGGGTTGGAAGGGACCTCGGTGGGTCATCAAGTCCACCCCTCCTGCCGAAGCAGGGTCACCTACAGCAGGCTGCACAGGACCTTGTCCAGGCGGGTCTTGAATATCTCCAGAGAAGGAGACTCCACAACCTCCCTGGGCAGCCTGTTCCAGGGCTCCGTCACCCTCAGAGTGAAGAAGTTCTTCCTCATGTTCAGACATTCACTAAGGTGTACATCTTTGGAAGCAGCTCACGCCTGATGCACATCCACCCAAACTGGGTAGGGGAGCTGGAGCTGCTTAATGGAGGGCTAAAGATGGGGAGCAGGCAGTGGGCAGTTGGAATCCAAGCCCACATGCACCAGCGCTGGCCTTGCAGTGTTGGACCGGCTCTGTGTGGGGATGAATTGAGCCCTGTGTGTTTAACACCGGGAGAGGCCATCGGTTTTCTCCCCGTGGCTTAGGATGGTCTGTATGGCTGTCGTAGAAGGGCAGAAGGTTCTCTGTTGGTTTTGGGGTATGTCGATGCTCAGGCAGTTCCTCAAATGGTTTTGGAAAAGTGGGGTTTATGAGAGCAGGCTTTGGCAGTTGGCACCTTCTGGGTCCGTTGGGTTGATTGCATTTATGTTTTTCTTCCTTTAATTAAATTCTGGGCACAAGCTGAAGCGATCCGGTGACATGAAGGCCCACCTTTGATCCATCCAGCACCCCAGTCCTGTGCTTCAGAGCACACTCGGTTCAGATGAAAACAAGATACTGGATTTGCAGCCAAATTATATTAGGGTGGCTCACAGCAGTCAGCTGGGATATAATAGGGTGTTTCTTTAGGAAGGCAATAAAGAGAACATTGTCTAGATTAAAAATCACGTATGAAAATATTATTCTATGTAACCAAGGAAATTACACTTTATTAAAATAAAATATAGTTTACATAAAGAAAAGGGAAAAATAAGCACTGATGTAGTCTTTGTGATTCCCTATTTGCTTGGTAACTGTGTCTATTTTGTTTAATCCTGATTGCAGCAAAACAGTAACATGCATGTACATGTGAGTGCATGTATACTTAAAAACATTGGCATGTTTGCAACTGGTTAGTGTGACCTACTCCAGTATAGGGCCTCATTGTGTTAGACCCAGGACAGGTTACGTATAAGGTTACTGCGTTAATAACTGCCTAATTAGACAAGGCATACAAAAGAATGGCTGAGATCTCTGCTGTTTCAGGGTTTCTGATGTTGTAAGGGGATTTTCTGTTTGTAGACACAGTCGTAAGGTATCACCCCTTCCTCATCCCTTGCCTCAGACTCTGAGAGCATAGATCAGCTGTTTTTCTCTGCACAGTAACTGGCAGCCTTTGAAAATATATTGATATTTTCAAGGCAAGGCAAGACAGCTGTTGTGTGGATGGGTGGGAGGGAATGGGACCTGAAAGAAGGGGTAGGCATGAAGGGTGTTCTCCCCTGTTTCTGCCATGGCATGCTATTTGAGTTGGTGTCATGCATCAGGTGAGTCCTTTGTGATGTACCTTGACTTGTAGCACTTTCTGGGATGAGCAATGTAGTCGCAGATACTGTGCCCGTTGTGGTGTGACCTAGTGCTGACTCACTGCCTCTCCTCTGGCCCTTTGAAACCCCAAGGTGGAGTGGCTGAAGAATGAAGAGGTGATTGATCCCGTGGAAGACCGAAATTTTTACATCACCATCGATCACAACCTGATCATCAAGCAAGCCCGGCTTTCTGACACAGCCAATTACACTTGTGTCGCCAAAAACATTGTGGCCAAAAGGAAAAGCACCACTGCGACTGTGATTGTCTATGGTAAGTGGTGGATGCACACGCAAAGCAAGCACTGGGGCAGGAGGGGGCTCAAAATGTCAATATGCAACTCTTACCATGGTCAGTGCCCAGGCTGGGCCACCTGTGCTGCCTGTTGACTTGCAGCCATACGCAAAGACTGCAGTCAGGGTTCATTACTGAACATAGTCAGAAGTACAGGTGTGATGGCTTGGCTTAACGGTGATAGACAATGTGTAAAAGGAGGAACAGGCACCTGTGCAAGCAGCCCATTGCCTCATTGAAGAGAAGACGGTTGTTCCCCTTGCCGTAACACATGCCAGCTGGAGGCAGCAAGGAGCCATGAAAGCGCTTCTTCCAGCAGAATCATCCCAGGCATGGTTTCTACCAACACGTTTCACGTTCTTAGTGATGCTTTTCAAAAATGAGAGTAAAACCAAAAGGAAGTTTGTGCTTCCAGAAACTGGTAAGAGTGTCAGAGCTCAGCAGAATCATCCAGCTTTTTCCAACTCTTTAAATAAGCTTATTTTTGGTGTCTGCTACCAAAACATACTTTGGTGTCAGGGGCAAAGCACTCTGTGGCTGCAGTTCATAAGCACACAACCTAGCTTAAATGTAAACATCAGGGGAATACAAAGCATGGCATAACATTGTTCTGCGTCTGCATCCACAGCCCTGATCAAATATTGAGGTTGGCTGTGCTTTGGCTGGGGAGGGGCCAGATGAGATACCCTCCTGGGCTTTCTTCCAGGCTGTGATGCGCTGCAGTTCTGCCCCACCAGTCCGAGCTTTGCCCCTGCAGAGTTACTGGCCTGATGCATCCCAGGCAGGGGTATCCACCAGAACAAAACACTCTGACGACGTGCCAGCTGACTGTCCTGGTGTTCCTTACAATCAGCTTAATTATAGGGTAGACAAGTAGGAAAAAATCCCTGTGATTATCCCTAATATTCATTTCATATTCAGGGTAGCAGTTAGATTTAATTGTAAGCAGTTGCTTCCCTGAAGTTACAATGAGGGCCTTTTAGTTCAGTTTTTATAGAAAACCGACTGAATTGAGTTGATTAGCAGTGTTTGTGATACTGAGGGATGGACCACGCAAGAGCACTGTGTTTTATAACTGTGATGAATGCAGAAACATAAAGAGGTAGGCATGCCACAACTCTTCCTCGTGCATATACAACATTTTTTTCAACAGTGCAGTCAAGACACAGGTATGTAGGGGAGCAAATGTTTTTATGGGTTTTGCTACCAAAGTTGCTTAAGGATTGTGTCATATCTCAGACATTTGGGGACTGGAGAATCTGAGCAGTTAATAGGTTATCCATACCATGACAACAATGTTATTACATAGAGCAGCACAGCTCCTTCTTCATCCATCCACCTGTCCAGGAAACTGAGGTGAGTGAAAAAGAGAGTCAGCATAAACATCTTCACAAAGATAAATTTCTTCCCAAAATCTGAAAATAAAAGTTCATTTAGCGAAAGTTCACTCTGAGTAGCTTAAATGTCTGTTATGGAAGCACTGGGGCATTCATACGCACCAGCTGTGTCCACAGAGGGGTGAGTGAAGTTACCCTGACATGCTGAAATCACCCTCTGGAAAGAATGGGAGAGAAAACGATCAATTCCTTGTCCGGACACGGGAGTCTCTCAGCATGCATAGATGATGGGTACATCTGAGATCACGCTGGAGTGCAGGTTACCTCCCTTTGGAAGCTGATGCAGCTTTCAGAGCGTAGGCTTCTGGCTGGCAGAGCTGCCAGTACTCTCTGAAGCCGCAGAGATTTTGGCCGTACACACGTCAGCAGGTACTTAGTGCTGGGTCAGGTTGGTTTTCAGCAGAAGGCAGGTCACCTGACAGTGCCGTAATAGTCTTCAAAATGTGTTTTTCATTTAGTGTCAGCATTTCTTCAACTTGTGCAATGACTTCTGGCATGCTGTACATTCGGTACGCTGGAGACATGGGCTTGTGCCTGTTCGGTGTTGCTTCTTGTGCTTCCCAGCCATCACTTGTGGCTGCTGTTGGAGGCAGCATGACACGGAGCCAGAGGTGCCTTTGGCCTGAACAGGATGGCTTGCTTATGCAATCATACTCTCTCTCTTGCTTTTCAGTGAACGGAGGCTGGTCTACCTGGACTGAGTGGTCAGTGTGTAACAGCCGATGCGGGAGAGGCTTTCAGAAGCGTACGAGGACCTGCACCAATCCTGCCCCACTCAACGGTGGTGCCTTCTGCGAGGGCCAGAGCGTTCAGAAAATAGCTTGCACCACTCTGTGTCCAGGTTCAGTATGAACAGTACATAGCCCTAGATAGATAGTTTGTCTGTCCCCAGTCATTTCAGTGGAAGACTATTAATTACAAAAGCCTCCTTCTTTTATTAGTAAATCCAACATTTCAGTCAATGAATATGACATTATATTACATAAGTAGATAAAATAGTGAGCACATTATATCAAGCAACAGAGGATTCAGATCCACTTTTGCATGCAGTTTGCGCCGATGTCTCAGCCCTGGTAATTCAGGGGATTTGGAGGACATTCAGAGCTTCAAATTGTAGGAGATAAAGACTGAAAGCTCTGGAAAGGGACTGGAATTTGAATATAGACAGCAACTGTCATGTAAATATATTTGCAATGTCCACTGAGTCCAGCTGTCACAGCAAGTGGAGCATCTGGGGTGTGGATGTTACATTTGAGGCATGTATTTACCTGACTTCAAATACAAAGACATTCATACTGGGAAGAGGTGTGTATGCATACCTTTAAAAGGCATTTAAATGTAAACTTCTGAAAAATACAAAATTGCTTCAGGATATGCAATGTAGTTGGCGGCTTTTCTGTGATAAAAGTTCTAACGTGTCTTATTGTCCAGTGCTTTCGTGTCTCTGTGGTCCCACTCAAACTGATGGCAGTAGGGTTGCTTTCAGCTTGTGAAGCATGGCCATCCAGCTCCAGGTCTTAGTGGTGGATGAGACTTAAAAGCTGAAATTTCATCTCTGGTCACTATTCCAAGTGACAGACTCCTGGCTCAGACTGTGTCACTGGAATAATTTTGTAGTTCGTTCTTTGGCTGTTCAGTTTAATGCTTTTGAAAATAATTTGCAGGATTCTGAAAGATGTTAAACACCTTATTCATTCTGCTTATGTGAAATAGATCAGTGCCTCTATGTATTTCTTTTAACAGAAAATATTTAACATTTAATGTCTTCCTACTAAAGAAGAATTTGTGTCCAAGTCTAACCTCAGTGTTAAAAAATGCAAAAAAAAAAAAAAAAACCCAGATTCCCGACTTGTTGTTCCTTTTCTTGTACACTATGAGCACACATAAACTTCTGACAAGTTTATAAAAAGGGGAGGAAAGAGCAGAAACGGGGCCAGGCCAGAGAGAAAGGAGAGGGAGAGTGAATGTGCATTTACAGGCCAGAAACAGGACTTAAAGAAGAGCAGAATGACGCTGCTTCTGCCTTGCTGGGAAGGGCCAGAATTTGCAGGCTGGCTTGTGCCGAGGTGTGCATCGCTCTCACTCGTTCTCCCTTTGATGTACCCCCTAACAAGTCGTGTCCTTCCCTTGTCTCAGTGGACGGCAAGTGGACGTCCTGGAGCAAGTGGTCCACGTGCGGGACCGAGTGCACCCACTGGCGCCGGAGGGAGTGCACGGCCCCGGCACCCAAGAACGGGGGAAAGGACTGCGAGGGGCTGGTGCTGCAGTCCAAGAACTGCACCGACGGGCTCTGCATGCAGGGTAAGTGCCGCTGTGATGCCTCCGGGTCTGGCAAGTATGTGGCTGCAGGTAAACCTGCGGCAGCTGCAGATGTGCTTCAGGGACCTAAAGTCACAAAATCATTTGTAGGATGGAGAAGAGGGTTAATCCAGTTCTCACCAGAAGGGACACTCCACTCTTCTTCCCTGAAGATGAATGTGATGCTGTTTGAAGTTGATGGAGTTGAGCAGTGAAGATTTAAAAAGTCCCGTAACAGAGCACTGTCCCCGCTGCTGTCCCCACCAAACAGCCTTTCTCCCTAACACCATCTCAGCATCTGTTTGGGAAAGCTTGGCAGTGACTCCTGTGGCAGCGCAAATGAGAAGTAGAGAGTTTAGGGCAAAGCCAGCACTGTCAAAAGACTAAACTTGGCAAAGCAGATTAGCTTGTGGCTCCTTACTGTCAGGAATGGTGGGTGCATGTGTTTCTACGTACAATAGTTATGCTCGTTTTTGAGTTTGGGGTGCCTTTTAGTACGAGGTACCCTGTATCTGTGCAGTGCCTGTGCAAACTTCACACATAGTTATCAGCATGCTGCAGCCTTGTGAAGATCAGCTCTAGCACTGAAGTCTATTCTGCCTGCACCTGTTCACACCATGGTCCTGCTTTTGTGACTAATAAGAGCGAGAAGTAAAGAAAAGCAGGCTTTTACTGTGATTCTGACATATGCTGACGAATAATTAATCTTCTCTGCACCCCATCCCTTCTCAAAAATTAGGTCTTCTCTGTTCTGCCGGTACACTGAAACTTCCTTTCACATCTTGTTAGCACAATAGCCTGAGCCAAAATCCTCCCATACATCTCTCCCGTTCCATCATCCTGTCTCTCTGCAGTACTTCTCTGTCGAGCCTCAGCTCTTGGTTGCCCGTAGAGTTGTGGCTGTAACTATCTGGTATCTATGTGTCCAGATCATAAAATTCTTTGAGTTGTCTCATGAAAAAGGAGTCAGGAATTTTTATTCTTTGAGGCAGGTCACTTTTGACTGAAATAGCCACAATGACACAAAAGTGACACTAATAGCTAATACATAGGTCTGCTTCTTGAAGAAGTGCCATATAGATGGCTGCTGTGCTGACAGCGATCTCTGAGCTACCCTATGGCACAGCACGGCTGTTTGCTCTGAGGTTTCCCACATTTGCTAGAAGGGCTTCTTCAGTGTGGCTCGCACAAACAGTTTCATCACATTAAAAATTATTAGTCCATGTCATCAGCCTATAAAGCTGTAATTCCTCACAGTGTTCAGTTTTATGGGGAAAACAGGAAGGTGAGATTCAGAGCTCCTCTGTTTTTCTTTTCTAAAGACAGAAGAAAGTAAAAATGCAGCCACATCTTGCTGTGTAACACCTTCATGATTTTTATAGCGGGGAAGCTGACGTACCCCTAGCTCCAGTGGTGTGAATAAGTCATTATGGTAAATTAGGAAGAAAGGATACGTTTCCCCGTACAGAAGATCTCTTCACTATCAGATTATATGTAGACAGGTGTGTGTCATCTTTTTGTATGTGCATAAAGAGAGCCATTTAAGCAGAAATCTTGTGGAAAAGTAGGTATAATGGTACAGCAGAATAAAAACCCTGTAGGGATCTCATTCATCTGTTGATAGTATATTGCATTTTATTTGTGAAAGTGGATGCAAAGTATAAAGCAGAGGTCTTCAGTGGGAGAGAGGGTGAGGCTGTTGTGAATCCTATTCTCCTTCATATATATGTATATAAAAAATGGTAATGAAAAATATACAGTCACATATTGACCTGCCTTGGCTCCAGGGGCTGTGATGATCCTTCAGTGTTGGAATTTAATGGCAATGTTTTAATGGTGTCTTTGTACTCGCAGAGTTTCATATACCTGTAAAACTTACAGTCCTGCTCCCTGATCCATCACTGCTGAGAAGATGGATTTGCCATACTTGGCGGCAGTGTGCCTGCAGCTCTCCCTCTTTTTTATTTTCTTTCTCCTTCTCAGTTTATGCAAAACCAATCTGAACATTTACGCTTTTGCTGGTGTGGAGGTAGATTCACAGCAAATCTGCCTGCTGAGATAGGAAGAAACACAGGACTCCTTTCATTCCTAGAACATCATGTTTCTTTCCACGTTATTTGAGGCTGGTGGGGACTGGCCTGGCACTGACATTTCTCCTAGCCTGGGGTCCTGTGGATCCACAGCAGACTTTTCCAATGCCTGTGTGCCAGCGGGTCTGTTGTGGCATGGGGGGAGCCACAGCCACCTTTCCTCTGCAGCCGTAGCCCTTCAGGAGCTGTCTTGGCCAACTGCTTACCCGCACCATAGCCAAATCCTGCTTCTAGGTGCCCTGGTGCTTTCTCCTTAGTGTCAGCTTTTAGTGAGAGCTAGAAGGTTGACTTTAGCACCATGAGTGTCATTGAGGTGAAAGAATGAGTAGACAGAGCCTCTTACCAGGAGTCACTAGGCTGTTGCTTTGACAAAAACTCACTTGTAAATGTGTCTCTCTATATAGCTGTACATAAAAGATATCCCGGAAAATATTGGATTGAATGAGTCTAATTTACAAGCTCTTTCACTTCCAGTCTATTATTCACTACAGTAGCATCAGCTGGATAAATCAATAAGCTCTTTCATCAGACTGCCCCTGCTCCAGCAAAGAGCAGCAGTCTGCACCACTATCGATTTCTGTGGGGATAAAAACTGTGGAGCTTTATCCATCCCTTGTAATTACAGTATTTTACACCCAAAGCTGTAGTTTGTGCTTACTGCTAACTGTGACATTTCTTGTGCAACTCTGCTGTCACATTTATTCAGACTAATGATCTTGCTAGTACACACATACGCTCCCTTATCCAGTAGTTAGTATTTTTCTGTTAACATGAAAGGATGAACACTCATTAAACTAGAGAGCCTGCAGAGAGGCAGCAGGCTGAATTGAAGAAGAAAAGCAGCTGTAGTGAAAATTTAGGGCAGTCATTACTATTTTAAGTTTCCAAATACTCAATATTGCCTAGCTAGTCCCATTACAACAATTTTGTAATTCCCTTAATAGCATTAATATGATCTTCTGGAACAAAATATGCTGTAGGTGTGAGAAGAATTGCCTGGTTACCACCCACACTAGTTGCATTATTGCCTCCATAGTTGCATTATTTCCAATTTGAAGTATGAGTACTGTGGTAAATACTTCAGCGCAAGGAACAACGCTTTTAAAGGCACACACTGCATCTCACAGGGGATGGCTATAAACTGAAATGCTGCAATTAGCCCTCCACTTATCCCATGTAATGACTTTGGTGGGTGTTCTGTGTGGGGACTAAGAAAGCAAAGAGTTCCACTGCCGGCTCAAACTTCACACAGGTAGTTCCCTGCACTAGATCACAAATATGTTTAAAGCAAAGTACAGGGGGAAGTGTTTTGCTGAGCCCAGCCTGAAGTGACTGCGAGATCATGTGTGTGGTACCAAACAGATGCTAAAAGTCCCTGGCTGGCCAGATTCTGGTTTGCATTATGTGCAAAATGTTGCTGGTAATCAGGAAGGGTGGACAACCTACAAAGAGCGTTAGCTGTGTGGCATGGTTATGTTGAAGGCTTATTACAGGAGTTGTGACGTGCAGCTGTCTCTCTCAGAGCATGTGACCTGCGTCCTGTCTGTCGAGGATCTGAAGTGACCGTGGTGTTCAGATCTGTACCCTGAATAAGTACAGAAAGTCTGTGGGCAGGAGGTTGGTGCCTGCCCATGCTGGGAAAGCCGTTAGTCTTTGAGATCGAGCTTGTGATGCACAGGGTTGGCAGAAGCACAGCCAGGAGACAACCAGTGTCCCTGCTTCAGCTCGCTCTCAGCTTTAGTAGACCACTGTGGCCTTTCATAAAAGGCTGGCTGAGTTGAACTTTCAGTTTTTTTCAAAACACAGGACTAGGTATCTTACAGCAATGAGGTAATACTGAAGGACATGTTTTCGCTTCAGGACTATGGATTATATAGTTACGTAAATAGTATTGTTGCTCTGTGTAGTAAAAACTGTTCACTATGTACAGTCTTACCATATGGAATACAAATCCATCACTGAATAGGGCCAAAAGGAAATTTCCATTTGTGAATCATTGCCAAGTGTCATCAGATCCAGTGTGGGCTTTTCCTGTGTTCGTTTGAATTTCAATAAGTTAGCGTGAAGAGACTGATATGTGCTACTGTCACTTAAAGAAAGGAAGAAAAGATTCAAAACATCTTCACCCGTCATTAGAGACAAAATCCTGGACTAACTCTTGGGTCACTTTGTTGCTTTCCTTACATGTACCTTAAGTACTTGAAAATTCAAATAATGGATACAGCACTGGAGAAAAGGGCACTTATACCGTTATCAGACTAGTAATTCCATGCCTTATTAAAAAAGGCTGCCTTCTAGTCGAGAGTGAATTGAAGTGAAATGAGGATGGCAAATCTATATTTGTCAGGCACTTTGTAATCCTCATCTGAAAGGTGGTATGAAGTCCATAAGGTTCCCTCTTCCAATGATAGTGCCTAAGCAAGTGAAAGAGAAGCATTTTCTCACGCTTGTGCACGAAATAGTTAACTGCTGTCCTTTTCCAGCCTCATGCCTGTTTATACACAGAGCTCGAGTAGAAAGCAAGGTTAACCTGATACTAACATCTCTTTCTTCATGAGACGTATATATTCTGCACATGCCATGCTTGTTTAATGTAACATGCCAGAACGTCTGATGGAATAAGCGTTCGTTTCCCTTTTTGGCTTGTTTTGAAAGAAAGCATTCAGGGAAGAATTACAGGGCAGAGAAGTTTGGTGAGGACCTCTGGTCCTCCAGAGCGGATTAGTGTGCAAAGAGCAGGGGAATGTTTTCCAGGCTCCAGAAGGTAAGCTAAGGTCTCTCAAGGGAGACTGCAACAGAAGACCATGTGTGCAGAGGAATGAAATAAAACCTTTTATTAAGAGCATGTGGGTCAAGAGAGAACTTCTAATAGGTTCAATCTGTCAGCATAACGATATAGCCACCTGGCCTGTT